TTTTTATATTAATTTTAATCAAATTTTATATAATAAAATTTAAGAAATAATAATTCAAAAAAGTTTATATTAGTAAATTTTTTTTTATAAAAGATATAATAAAAATTTTTACATTCAAATAAATTCTAATATCTAATAATTTAATTAAATAAGACAGAATTAAAATTTTATTTTAAAAAAATAATTTATTAATATTTATTTGATATATCAATCTTTTTATATCAGATTATATCTTTTTTTTAAAAAAATAATTTTATTTTGATTTTTTTAATAAAATAATACTTTATCTATTATTAAATTAAAGTATAATAAAATAATTAAAATAATATAAAAAATAAATTTAGATTATTTTTATTTATTATAAAAAAATTATAAAGATTAGTTAAAATTTGAATGATTTTTATTAAAAAAAATTATTTAATATATCAATTTTTTTGTAATAATTTATATATTTAATTAATTATATATTATATTTAATTATTACTTTATTTATTTTAATAAAAATGATAATAACATATATAAATAATCTTTATAAAATTTTAAATCTCAAATAAAATCATTTGAAATTGCAAGTCAATGTGATATGGAAATGTTAATCCGAATTTACTTAATTCGGGTGCTGCTAATCCTGATTGAATTATAATTCACTATCTGGCTTTGGTGATCCCCAAGAAGGTTAGATTGGCTGATCACATTTTTATTGGTTACTAGCCACATTAAATCAAATGATCTTACTGTTTTTAGGCTTTTAGGCTACACCGAGAAAGCTGGCGATTGGAAAGTTATTGAACAGCCGATTGTATCGCATGGCGCATGAACAATATATCTAACGAATCAGGTTCCATTTTTGTTGAAATCTCCAAGTTTTTCTTTTCATATTTTTTGCTTCATTGTTAAAAATGGTAAGTAAAAATTTGCATTCCGTGATTCAAGGTACATAGGTCATTCATTATATTGACTTTTAAGTTCATACACTTCATTTCTAAAAAAAATTATACAGAGTGCTGGTAGCGGATGCTCTGTTAGCGATATCTGCATTGAAACTTTTCAAGAGCTAAAGTTGAGGAAAAAGTACAAGGGGATAATTTTCAGGATTGAAAACGAAAAAGAAATTGTCGTTGAAAGCACCTCAGATGAACCTGATTTTGATGCATTTGCTTCTTACATAAGCAGCAACTATGAAGATAAACCTCGCTATGTGGTCTACGATTTAGAATATGAGTTACCCGGTGGGGAAGGAAAACGCAGCAAAATAATCTTTTTCCTTTGGTAGGGAAATTAAAAAAAATATTTTAAATTGAAATTTTTGATAATAATGAATCCTGAATCATAATTTTAATTGTTAATATTTTTAAAAACAATTAGGAATGCGCCCGGAAGTAGAATCAGAGAAAGAACCTTGTATACATCATCTAAAGCTTATCTGCGTCTTAAACTTACTGGTGTTTCATCAGACGTACAGATAAACGATTTTGATGATTTTGCCACCGTCAAGGAGAATATTATTAATTCCAAATAATAATCGTACTCGAAGATATTAAAATGTTGTTTTGACTTTTTCATTATAGTTAATCATTTTTATAGATTAATTTAAATAAATGCATGTAAATTGTGTTTATCTTATACTTTTCGATTGTTCATTTTTAATAAAGAATTTGCGTTTGCTTGCTTGTATGCTACATGCGGGTGTGGATGGTAACTATTCATATCGAAAAAAAAAAATAAATTATTATATTTGCGGTTGTTTACGGTATTTCATTTTAAATTTTTCTGAGGGTTTATAAAAATAGACTGAACAGCGGATGAACATCCAATAGTTCTGACACACATAATCATATATCCAAGGATAAATATTTCAGTATTCAGTATTCTGCGTTGATACACGAGAGAAATGCAGAGATTAAATACATTTTTCCTTTCTTTGGCTACCTCATTAATATTACTTATTTTAATATTGTCGTCGGTAAAAGCAATTTTACCACCTCTAATATATAATAAAGATGATAACACCATATGCAACAATCTTAGTGGGCACTGCTATCATAAAGTATTCCAACCAACAAACGAATTTCAAAATGTGTTGGAAGGGCAAGAAGTACCAGCTGGTATTTTCCTTTCGAGATTATTAGTTTTAAACATCACAACATTGTAATACTAATTCTTTCGATAATATTTTTAGGTCTTCATATACGTGTAGACATTAACACTGGCATGAAGCAAGCAAAATTATTAGATGATGCCGATGGAACAACTTCTACAGAACATACAAGTGTTATTTTACTTGATAAAAACGGAAATCCCATAATAGAAGAAAAAGAAACATCAACTACGACAACGATTTTAGAAATAAGCGAAGAAGCAGAAACCGAAACAGAAGAACAAAAAAAAGCAACTTTCCATAAACAATCCGATGAAAAGAATTCTTCATTACCTTTACTGATCAACACTCCAAAACCAAATAAACACATCCCTCAGTCAGATTATGAATCTTTTGATGATAATTTGAGAATTTTATCACAATCTCATGACGCGCCTATTCAAGAGTTGATTAACGCGTTGGACGGCTTAGAAGATTTAGTACATGAATTGGATTTTGGTGTTAAATTTGCAAATAGTGATGGAATTTTAATGGTAATTGAATTGTTATACCATATCAATAACGAAGTTAAAGTGAAAGCCGCAACAGTTCTTGGCACCGCAATGCAGGTAAATAAATTTTTATCATTTGTTATTTTTATTGTTTTTATTCATCAATGTTATTTATTTATTTATTTATTAATTAATATGATTGTTAGAATAATCCATTTTCACAAAAAATTGCAATTAATCTTAAACTAATTCCAAGACTGTTGGATATTATCTCATACAATTACAATCACAAATACTCATCACGCCTTTTATACGCATTATCAAGCATTATACGTGGTAACAATGAAGGTGTTCAATCATTTTTATATGATAATCAAGGATTATTACGTCTAGCAACGTATTATGCATCAAATCAAGACGAAGAAATACGTGCAAAATGTGCGATATTTATTACCGATTTATTTGATCCAAAGATGATGACAACATCATCAGACTCCGATAAAAAAATAAATTATCATAATCATTACCAGCATCGACAGGGAATCGATGAATGGTGTCGACAGTTTCAAAATTCGTTATTTGATTTTGGCACTGGAATTGATAAAACTATTGGATTCGATTCACGCGAGAAAATTCTTGGTGGATTAGCAATGATAAAGAGTCAATATCCAGACAAATGTCCTGCACAACCTGGTCTCGTAAAGTGGCTAAACGGGCAAAATAGCGAATTGAGATATGAACAGGAAGATTTTGAAGAATATTTACAATTAATTGAAACTGTTCAAAAAATATTCAGTTGAATTTGAAAAATCATTAATTTTCTGACAATTTTTTTTAAATAATTTATATTCCGCTCATATACACTAAACACATTAATAAACACATCTTCCACGTATTTCGAGTCAAAATTATAAGACTATCGCATCAGATTTCTTTTCATATTGTTGGTGGATTAATTAATACATTATTCGATTGTTTACTAGTTTTTACTTCCCAGATGTGCATATTCTTTTTTAATATTTCCGCCGCCCATTCATTTTCATCGCAAGCTTTCGCAGCCCTCATAAAAGTCGCAACAACTTTATGGTCTGGCTCTAGTCCAAATTTCAACATATCATTCCAAACAAGTTGGACACCCTCAAAATCTTTTTGCAATCCATAAACATGAGCTAAATTACGAAAAGTTGTTAAACTCGGCATGATGCGAAATCTTTGCATTTCCACGACACTTTTTTTCATTTCATCCATTTTACCAAGTTTCCCGAATCCTTGTATTAGTGTGTTAAATGTGACCACGCTCGGTTGAATCTCTTGGCTCAGCATAAGTAAATACCAGTCTCGTGCTTTTTCCATGTATGCTTCGGAATCTTTTTCGTTCTCTCGTGCTTTGGCAATAATTGCAGCATGAAAATTACCAGCAATCATTATGTTTATTGTGACAATATCAAGTGAACAATTCCATTTTTCCAACATTTCATTTTGGAGAAATTCCATCGCTGATTCTGGATAATTATTTCGCATGTATCCTTTTAAGATTGCATTAAACGTTGCTGTATTTGGACGGACTTTATTATTATTATTATTATTTTTATTATTACTTTCCAATCTAGCATATATATTCAACGCTTTTTCCAAATTATTTTGTTGTTGAATATATTTCTGAATTAATGCGTTGTATGCATAAGGTTCCGGCGACAAACCGAGTTTCTCTGCTTGTAATAATGCATCATCAGCTGCCTCGAGGTTTCCGAAATCAGAAAAAGCATTAATCAGACTAGCAAATATTTGACTATCCAATTTACACCCTTGATTTACAATCTCTTCATGCAGTTTCTTGATCTTATCGTAACCACCTGTTGTCGTTTGTTTGGCATATGTATTGATCAAAGTGCAGTAAGTCGTGGAATCCGGGTTTATTATTCCTTTCGTTTTCAGTTTCGAGATTTTCTTCCAAACTTGTTCTAATTTTTCAACGTCTTGCACCTTTTGGCAGGCAGTTAATAACGCGTTATATATTTCTATGTCGTATTTCACGCCGGACTGGAGCATATCTTGAATTAAAATTTCTATATGCTCTATACGTTCTGTCAACGTCGTCTCTTCATTTTGGCTTTCACCATTTCGTTTTAATAACCAGGCAAAATTTCGATAATCGACATATAATAGTCCTTTATCAGGCGTTTTGTCTGAGATGTAGATTTGCCATGCAAGATTTGCATTTCCTTCTGCAATTGCCTCGCGTAAAAGTCTTGCAGTGTTAATATGTGTCTCCGACGGTGCTATAATTGCTTTGGTTTTTACCGACTTGTGAGCTACGCGTTCTGATTTACTCTGAGAGCTTATCGTGGTAGAGAAGGAAAAATGTTGCTGTCTATGAACAGATTTTGAAACAATTTGAATAAATGGATTTGCGTGGTGGTTTTTTTTTATTATTGTTCGAAGTAATAATTCTTTATTAGATAAACGTCGAACTTGATTCAACCAAACCCACATTGCAAAAAATTTTTTACGATTTGATCATCTTATTCGACAGAAATAATTCTTACGTGTTTTGTTGGTATCTATTTGGAAATGTACAACATACGTGAATTTTCGTTTGTTTAATTTTCCTCGGGCCAACTTTTACCTGACTCTTATTCAATGTTGGAAACAGAAGCCTCGACATTAGACGCTTTTCTCTCTTGGGCGAAAGGTATGAATCCGGACTCTTTTACCTAAACAATTCAACAAAAATTTTAATTTAATATACTTGTCTCAATTCAGGACAGGGAGTAGAATCAGATGTTGCAATTGAAAAAGTACCTGATAAAGGATTAGGTGTTGTAAGCAAAAAACGACATTTCCGAGATAATTCAAGGGTAATATTTGTACCTTCGGTAGTTCTGGTAAACGCGTCCAAAATAATCAGATATGCAAAGGAAGAAGCGCCGAAACTCGATTCTTTCTATCAGGCTCTACGTCGCGATGGAATATCAACGACTGAACGTATTATAATAATGTCCTTCATATTATTTGAGCTAGTTGGACGTTTATCTCTAGGAGAATCTGCGCCTCCACCGTCACTCTGGAAACCTTACTTGGATATCCTACCGAGAAAACTCCATACTCCAATGTTTTATAATGGCACACTGAAAGCTTGCCTTGATGGAACCAGCCTAAGTTCGGCGGTGGACTCAAAATTGAATAAGCTTAGACGTGAATTTGATTCGCTTAAACCATATTTTAATAAGTGGAGAGCATCTTCGTCTACTTTACAACCAGATGCTGCGACCAATGTTGATGTGGTTACACTTGAAGACTTTAAGTGGGCTGATGGAGTATTTTGGTCAAGAGTATTGTCATTTGGAAGTAGAATGGAGGCCTTGTCTATCGACAAATCCACACTTGAATCCGAAATTGATGATTTACATCTGGTCCCTTTCATAGATGTGGCAAACCACTCGTTGACACCATTGGCTCGGTGGGAAGTACTTACAGATGGAGCAGAATTAACCTTAACAAAATCTAGTAATCAAGAGCCAATTCCACCAGAAACTGAAATCTGTATCTCGTACGGGGAAAAATCGAACTGTGAACTTCTTTTCTTGCACGGGTTTGCATTAAAAGATGATCCATGGTCGGCGATATCTTTTCCAGTTCCATTCTTGGAGGGAGATCAAATTGTTGATGAGAAATTATTATTTATGAAATATCATGGAATTAAGTCATCGGTTTCATTATCAAGAAAAAATGATGGTATTGAATTACCGCATGAAGCCATTCGAGCTATGTGGCTTTGCGTTTTGGATGAAGGTGATGGACTAAAAATAACCACCTGCGATACAAAACCACATCTTGTAGAATTAAGTTTTGATGGTAAGGTCATCAGTAGTCTCGAGATGTTGGACAGTGTCATACAAGGCGGGAAATTATTCCCGGTAATTGAGTTGCGTGTTGTCCAGATCATTTTGGATGCTGTTGAAAATCTCTTGTCGAATCTAAGGCAAACTAATGAGCGAGTCCTTAAATTGATGGAGACAGCGAATTCACGAGAAATTGAATATATCAAAATTTATCGGGAAGATGAGCATCGATTTTTGGAATTCGCGGTTGAAGAGTTTACGAGAAAGCGTGAAGTTTTGATGAATAACGAAGGATTTGAAAGATTTGAAAGATATTTTAGTGAATAATAATAAGTCTTGCGTGATACATGTATAAAACTTGATGTTAGAGTTTTCATGTACCCATTTCAAAATTATTTGCTACATTTGAATCATTTAATAAAGCCTGAAATAAAGGATTTGGTCAACTTTGAAAAAGCATCTCATCATAAATAAAATTAAAAATATAATCTAATTATAAAAATAAGAAATACAGGTTGTCTATAGAAAGAACGTTGTTAACCAAAATTAATATCCGAGTGTGATGATAATCCTTTATAACGCACCTTTCACCTTTCACATCTTGATGTTATCATGATTACTATCTAGAAAATAAGGAGAAACTAAAGAAGGAAATAGGTTGATGGCATAATAAATTTGATTGATTACACGGATTATATAACCCTTCATTTATATTACGAATTCTTTCTCAATCCAAGATAACGACAACAGGGGATATATATGCATTTAGTATCTGCGATATAGAGTAATAGTTTGATTCTTAACCAGGTCCGACCTAATGAATAAATTAATCATATGCAAAGAACAATCAATCGAAATGATAAAAATAAAAAAAATATACATCGTCCCAGTAAAAGTACATCAATTGATAACGATATTTTACCTTTGGAATGTCGTAATGCTCTGTCATTTCTTCGAGCTTACGATTGAGCTCCTATTAATGTGATGCAATTAATTGATCAGGTCAAAATTTGAATATCTATCCCGTATTACAAAATTGCCTTAATGAATGTAAAGAAAGAGAAAAAACAACAACATACCGCAACACGTTCTTTATGAGACTTTTGAGCTGACTTAATGACCTTTTGTTCGAGCTGTATGAAAAAATAAAGATTACAAAATTAACCTTTCGTCAATGCCGGAAAAGTGTACATTTTTCTTATTGAATAGATCTTACTCTCTTTCGCTGAATCTCCTCAAATTTCTTTTCGGCCTCAGTTTTTTCTACAACACGAATTGGTTGTTGGTTTCGTTTTTCCTCTTTGGCAATTTTTTTAGCTAATGAGGTGATTGTTTCTTTTTCTTTAGACGATTTCTTCTTTTTCCTATACAACGACGGTTATTCTCGGTCAAACGACATATGAAAATACAGTATTTAAATACAATCCTCCCTCTTTATCAGAACTTGCTTTATAAAGAAAAGAACTTTTATTTTTGGAACCTGTTATTAAAAACTTCTGACCATGTTCTTATAAAGAAGGATGACTGTATCTTCCAAGAAAACGTATTTAAAAGGAGTACTGACTTTTTAATCTTAAAAGAATCGCCCTTTAACTTTAACGCACCACCGGCAACGTTTTCGTATTCTGACATGACGATAATAATAATAATAATGATAATCAGCACACAATTAGTTCAAATAAATATTAAATTGTGTATTATCGTTAATGGTATTAAACATGCAGGTGCCGATCGAAACTAAAAACAAAAATGATCCGCTATCAATCGGAAAACCTAAAGCCTAGTGCCTAATCTTAAAGATCCATAGGGTATTACTATATCATATATAAGCAGATCAAAGTGCAACACCGACGCTAGTCAGCACGATTTCTGGTATGTTGAATACGTTTTCTAAAATCTCCCCTCTCCTAAAATTCTTTTTCAAAATTTCATTTATAGTATACACAATGTAATTTTTTAAGCATAAACACCAACACATTATTATTCCTGCGAGAGTAGATCCATTTTTAGAGAGGCGTCGTCCTGCAAAAAACCGAAACCACTACGGTATCTTTTCTCTGTCTGAAACTAGTCTACAAACCAATGAACTCCTCAAAGCAACGTCGACTAAACGACCATTCGGATGATGAAGGTTCTCATCACCACAGTCGCGACAAATTTAAACGGGAGCGACGTCTGAGCAGAGAAGGTCGAGAACGCGATCGTGAACGCGATAGGGAACGTGATCATGATCGCGACTCTTACACTGACAGGCGTAAAAGAGACAACAGTGCTAACTCCGAAGAGAGAGGTAAATAAATATTTTTGAAAAATAATGAGCCACAACAAATTCACGAGTTCTCACCAATTGATGATATTTTTTTGGGATAACTTTAGATCGACGGTTCAAACGGCGTCGCTCCCTTTCCCCTAGGAGGGCACCGCCGGAAAGTAGTGGTGGTGATCATTATGTTCCAAATTATGACAAAGATGGATATGTACCAGGTCCTAGATACGGCAGACCTGGAGAAATGCGTTATCCCCCTCCATTTCCTGTCATGACAATGGGTGCGTAAATAAACTCTACTGATTTTTTTGTTTATTTGCATTCTTTGATATTGCCATGATTCATTAAATTTTCAAAAGGATTCAATGTTCCACCACCTCAAATAATGCCACCTGGAGGTCTTATGCCGATGGATTGGGCTGGTCCCTCCGGAAGGTAAATTAATTTCATAAGAAAAAGAACATTCATTATCTCTCAATTATTCAACGTCTTACTAATAATAATAATAATAATAATAATAATAATAATAATAATAATAATAATAATAATAATAATAATAATAATAAT